TCTTAAATTGCATTCTTTTAAAATCTGTATAATAAATCAAAAGTTTTTCTATCTAGTTCAAAAGAAAAATTGGAATAAGGTTTAGAACTAGAATCACCGCACTCAACTAATAATATATGCCAGATTAGAAACAAAACAAAATTAGTAGTTTTAATATAATTTGTTTTATCATTTATTAGTTTTATCATTAGTTTTATCATCAGTGAACAATATAACCCAGATGTTTACAAATAGCTTATTATTAATTATTCTCGTTCAAAAATAATAGTTTTAAATATAATTATTCAATTTCATTCGTGATATACCTTTTGAACTTTTAATGCAGCATTTTAAAATGAATCTTATGACACTTTATTATAGTTTATCAGCTGCAATATTACTTTTTTTTATAAAATTGTTAGCACGCTTCTAGGAAATTGTATTTCATTGACAATCAGCAATTTTAACAGATATAAAGAATAAAAGAATAAAGACAGTTCTGCTTGAGTATTTTTAAGTAATTACAGAACTTGAAAGAATGATCCCCATCTTCCTAACTTGTAATTCTTTGAGTTTAATTGAAACAAAAGTTTTTATGAAAACTAAACAGCAACTAGTGTCTTCTATTTAGTTAATATGATATTTACAATTTGAGCATCAAATTAATAATAATTTTAATTCATACACATTTTAATTAGTTTTTAATAGTAATTCAAGAAACTTATACAAAAATTAATACAAAAAATTTCATTTTAAATTAAACGTATTCAAATAGTTTTGAAACTTCAATGCATTAATTTCTAAATTTTATACTTGGCGAATTTAGAACTGTTTTAAATTTTAATTTCAGATATAAAATAAAATATCGCATAAGAATGTATTTTTTGGGGTAAGAAATTAGTCCATAGCATTTTTTTGTATGTTATGCGAAATTTGAAAACTAATCGCAAAATATTTTTTATTGAAAATGTACAGGGCAAAATTAACGATCACCACCGGTCACAAGGCTACTAAATATAACAAATGACGATTCAATTAATAATTAATTATAGTTATTAATGTAATTTTTATTTATATTATTATCAATTAATTATATATTATATAATAATTTTAATAAAGTGTGTGATTTATTAATATAATTTTCACATCAAGGTCTTATTAGAATATCTATAAAGTAATAATGAGAATACTGAAATATTATTTATTTATTAACAATAAATCAAAAAGTATGAATCATATGATATAGAATACTGCTTCTAAAACCAAATAACTTTGAGAAAATGAGTGACATAAGCAGGTTTAAAATTGTCTGATAAAAAATAATTAGTAATCATGATATGTTGTCTAATAACTCTAATAGAACTTATAACACTTTGTTAGTCTGTTTGGTTCAAAATTTAAATATTATAATAATAATAAAATTGTAAAAAGTAAAACTCTCAATTTAATTGTTGATCTACTGAATCTATATTGTTAAAATTATTGGAGCCTGTTTAATTATATTATTATTGAAAGTAATCCTTTTTAAATTGGATAGAGTGAATAAACATAACACTTTATCGTTGTTTCAACAAATCCCGAATGAACGATATTTTGATTAACCGAATTTTCAAAGAGTGAAATATTGCGATTATAACTTCATTATTTAATAGTTGGTATCGTTAATTTAATTAAAATTATTCGTATAATATTTCACTAATTTAGGATAATTTATTTAAAAAAATTACATGAATAGCATAAAAAATAACTTAAAATTAAGCAGAGAAATTTTAAAGGGTATAATTTTTTAAGAAAGGAAAAAGAATACATTAGAGGGATATTTAAATTTACAAATTACATAAAATTAAAGATTTGAAATCATAGTTTCATTCATAAAGTTATATTAGGTGTTTTAATTAAAAACCTCGTATTTGTTTACTTTCCAGTCATGCTATTGAGGGTTTGTCGTTTTGGAGTAGACTATAGACTTGCACCTTTTTAACCTGTGAGGAGCAATAACTTTATTTTCCCAGATATTGTAATTCGTTACTAATACTCTCAGAAAACTCAAATTAACCTATACCGTTATATTCGTACAATGCAAATTTGCTGAGACCTTAATAAGGTGCGAAATTGAATCATATTTTCGTTCAAATTAAACCAGAATATATATAGTAATCTATTTTAAGAAGTACGATCATTAAATTTAGCCCCAATTAAGGTTGCAGAAACTTTATACTGCAAAACGGTGCAAACAATGCAGTTTTTAAGTAATAATAGTGGTCGTAATGATATACTAACAAAGCTCAACTTAAAACTAACTTAGTGATAAAGTAAAAATTTTAGTTTTCAAATTATGATTGATGTTAAGTAAAGATTTTCCCCCTCATTATGTGTGGTATTTGACAGATAGATCTTGTTTTTGATCTAAGAAGAATCTTGTTTTGCATTGTAAAACTTGGTATCTGGCACTCTGTGTGCAAATTGTAACACACAATTCAAGGCAAGTTTTTTTTTCGTTTTTGTATGGAAAAATAAATAAATATAAATAAATAAAAATATGAAATAACACTCCCCGAACTAGTAAACCATAGCTGCCTTTTAAATGCAGTTTAAATAATGGAAATTAATTGAATTAAGCAGGAGTATATTTCAACAGTGCAGAAGTATAGATTTTTTTTACAGTATATTTCAACATTAAAACATTGAGTCCATATACGAGGTCATGAAACAAAATCTTTATCGGCCTAAGGAATACCATCGTGTTGATATCTGGATCATGAAGTGGTGAAGCTCATACGACTATTAAGTTAAATATAAGATTTGGTTAATTAAATTTTGGCTATTTTGTTACAACAGGTTGGTCACAAATAATTAGTAGTAAACCTGCCTTTTCCGGACTGATTTTTATCAAATTTCTTCAATTTTTATCAGGTAATAAATGTTAATATTAATTTTATTCTTAATATTTTCGTAATAAAATATTAATTTTATTACGAAACACTTATATTTGCTATAAGAGTTTAAAATATTATTTAATTATTTTTTATTTATTATATTTATTTTTTAAAAAAAATATTGGATTGATATTATATACATCTCAAACTCAAATTAATTCATTTCCCCTGATTTTTAGGGAATTTTAATTTAATACCCCGACATTTCTCTGATTTTTTCTAGGTTGAAAAAATTTCCTGATTATTTTCTTATTCCGTGGGCAACCTATAGAAATAGTAGTTGTATTAATAATTGCAATGTATTTGTCAGCTGTCATCCTTCGGGATTTTAATATATAAATATGGGTATGTTAATAAATATAATCACAAACAAAAAATCATTTACTAATTTCAAATATTAATCTTTTCTGGCTAAATAAATAATTGCCATAATTGCTTTAAATTGCATAAATTAAGCAAAACTTAAGAGCTAATTTTAACATGCTTTTCTATCTAACATATTACACATACTTTAACGTTAAAGAAAGTATATGAGTTATTTAAACATTAAAAAAATATATAAATTATTACAATATTAAAGGATAAAATTGCATTGTTTTAACATCAAGGAAAAATTTTGTTTAAGATACTTTAACATTAGGTAGAGGCAAAATTCATAATTATAGTTTAGTTCTCAACAATAACTTAATAAACTTAATCGAATTACTTGATATAAAGAGAGTAGAACTAAATAGTGAATCACTGATAATTGATATCTCTCTTGTAACAAATGATTCCATTTTGAATTTCTTTATTTGGGGAGATAAAATGGCTTTAAGTGACTAGAAAAATATATAGATTACATAATATGCTTTATTCATTTTATGTTCATTATCAGATTAACTATAACTTCTTTCAACAAGAGTTTCAAGTAAGTTGAGAACAGCCACATATATCTGAAAACGTTTTTTTGATATACAGGGTGTTCATAAAGACTTAGCAATATCTTCCAAACAATTTTTACAAAAACCTTACTACAATTTTTTTTAAATATATTGCATTTGTTAAAAAAAATTAACCCATTATTTTAATTATGTATAATCCTAATATCTATATTTCAATAAACAGTTGCAAAATGTTTAATTATGATTGCAAAAAAAGCTGATAATAGTAAAGCTTCTAATGCTCGAAAAAACAATAATAATAAAAAATATAACAAAACAGTAAGAACTAAACACATTTTAAATTCAATATTTATGTTAATATTTTAAAATTTTATTAATTATTTTAATTTATATTTACATGTTACAAACTGAGTGAAAAATATAGCATATATTTAATTTTATTTATATAAATTCCATCACAGATTTGATTAATAAAAAGATTATTGTAAATTTAATAATATTTTTCAAACTTTATCGAACTGAGTGAAACAGATATTTAATGGTACTTAATGGAATTGAAAAATTATACATTTATGTAAAATTAAATTTATAGAAGTTATATATTTCGTTAAAATAATATCACTAAATGGATACATTATCTCATTTCTATGCATTAAATAATTCATAATTGTAATAAAATAAAAAAAATGAATAAAAAATTCTTAAAAGCATAAGTACGCCTTGTTGACATTGCATCGCAAAAAATAGTTCTTACTCATAGAATTACTAATAACAATATCAATACATAGAAATTAATTACATAATTAATGATTAAAATCATTAATTGTAACAGTTATTACATCACTCATAATTCTAATACATAAAACTATAAGAGAATCAATATAATAATAAAAAAAAATTTATAGTGAATTAATATAATAGTTATATATAGAACGTAGCTGAGGGGGGTTTGAGGGGTTCCCTCCCCCCAAATAATATTATTATTATATGTATATATAAATAATTAGAACTTTCATAAAAAAAATATTTGGATCACAAATATTACTACTCAGCTACGTGGCTGTTTATATAGTAATTAATAAGGATAATTAATTGTATTAAAAATATAAGGGTTCCCTGTTATTAATACATCATTAAAAATATAACAAATACATAAAATTAATTATTAGTAATCATTCTTATAATAGAGATTTTTGCTTACCTCTTCCACTTCTGCCAACAAATCTCAGATCATTGAATTTGGCGACCCTGTTCTTGAAAGTCGCCGTGGAGTTACGGAGTTCACCGCAAAAGTTCTCATCATTCCCCGCAAACACAGTCACCACCGTTCCGTCCGGTATATCTCCCAAACAAACAACTTTGAAGGCTACCGGTAAGGTCTTGTTCGATCTCCAGTGGGACGGTAGAGCTGTACACATGAAACACGGACTGCCCGTTTTCACAAGTTCCTCGCCGCTTGTAACAGTCTCGGCAACAGAAGCCAGAGATGATTTCACAGCGGTGGGACGGCTCGAGTCGCCGCCGCTCATGAGTCCGTATCCGCAAGTACTGACCGGCTCGGCGGGCAGATGCATTGTGGTCACACACACGGCTCAAGCCGGTAGCATTCGAGTTGTAAAATCTCACCACAAACTACACACAGCTCGAAGAAAAATCACGGCAGACGAATTTGATGCTCGTTTTGTTTTGTGGTTTTGTTCGAGGAGGGATCAGGCGCCGTGTGCCAACCCACTCATACAAAGGTGGCACGTGACTTTTTCTGTTTACACTTCCGGTGCTCTCTAAATAAATGTATAAAAAATATTTGCTTGGTGACAGTTGTCACACAGAGTTACTTTATAAAAAAGTAAACAAACTCCTTCAGGAAATATCGGTTAAAAACACAAATCGTCTGCTGTAATTTTTATTCTTAACCACGGTTTTTGTTTATTTTTTTATTTAAAGGTATTTAAATTTTATAAAATAAATTAAAATAAATAATTTAAGTTGACACGCTATAAAATTCGAATAAAATCGTATCGATGATCAACTAATAAATTCGAATTCTTATATGAAACCGCAGACGATTCAAATTTGTCACCTAGCATCCGCAAAATTCAGTTTTGATTTGAAGGCATGCTGAATATAACGTAGATAAAAAGCGCTTGGAGGTAGTCAAATATTACGCAATGACAAAATACTGAGAAATATTGCACGCTCTCCTGTTATCATCTTCAAGCCGGTTCTGTGAAGCAAACTCCATTAGTATTCTTCCGCGAACTACTTAAATGCGGCGGAAGAGCATTCAGAGCCTCTCAAAAAGATGTTCTTTTATTTAACGATCTGAGTGAAAAAGGCATTGTTTAATAATTAGAAACATATCAATATTGTTAAACAAAGAGCATGAAGTAACAATGGTGAAAAAGATACTTTTCAAAGTCGCACTATTTGTTTTAAGCAACTTTGCAGTCGTGATTAGACATTTTGTTTGGTCTTTCTAAAGGCGCCGGATATGACATCATCCCTGGCTTGTTCCCAAGACAACCAAGAACGCCGAGTTACCTGTTTTCTACGTTTCCCGCTTTCTGAGTAGCCACGTGGTAGCGTAAAATGACGCAATACTCCTTTCATTCATAAAGTCGTGGTGTTTTATTTGTTATATTATTTTCTTCAGAAGGGCGATTCGTCAGTCGCGTTCTTCTGAAAGGCGTTACGGAATAATCTACTCACGCTTTTTCAACAGTATTTTTGCCAACGCAGATTAGAAATTAAAATTATTAAGAACCTTGTATGATTATCTCTTGATAATATCTTGATCAGTAAAAAGTAATTTAATTAATTTTTTTCTCATAAAAGAGTGGAAAAAAAAGTATTAATTTAATTTTTTTCTAATAAAAGAAGAAAAAAAATATTAAATGATTACAAATAATAATCATCATGCAAATTTTAATATTTATTTTTCTGCGACATTGAGATCGTGTTTATTGATATTAATTTTTTCTATGTTTTTATTTATAAGTTTGTTTTCATCAATATTTTCTTTAAAAAAAATTCTATCAATGCAAGATTAATTTGAAAAATAAAATAAAACAGATTAAAAGAAATTAACGCAGGCTCCAGAAATACAAAGTACCTCATGTATTTGTCGAAACATTTTATTCCAAAACATAAGTTATTGTATCAAGGAGTTATTAACAGTTAATCTGACTCAGATTAAGATTTTTTTTAAATTGTAAAGACGCTCTTAAGATATGTATTGTAATCACGTAATTCAATTAATAAACACGTGATAACAATGAAAATGAGTTTTAGGAATTAAAATAATTGTATGTATTATATTATATTATATTATATTATATGTATAATAAAACAAAGGGTTCAATAACAAATTAATCCTTAAAAGATTTACCTGAAGACATTTTGTCTGAAATAACTATAATTAAAACTTAAACAATCTTGTGTTTGAGCCTAAGAGAATCATATTTTAAATAAATATAAAAAATAAAGCATTTCCTTTGAGACGACAGGGGAATAGTGAATTTTATTATTCCTGACCAACAGCATGATTGTGGCAATTACGAGGTCAACATTGTACACAGGCCAATTTTACTTCCTAGACAGGCTGATGCCCATCGATCTGAAGCTGGGTGAGCTTCAATCCACCGCTAAGGACCAAACCCTAGTCCATCACAATGACAACTCAGGTTAACCGTGGAAGGTTTTCGTGATTTTACTCTTCATGTTACGCAAATGCCTGTGAACTCTCACTTATGCACCGGTGTAAGGGGCCAAGAGAAAAAAGCGCATAAGTGAAAGAGGCGCATAAGTGAAAGAGGCGCATAAGTGAAAAACTTCAAAATTCTAAAACGCAACGTAAATTGCGGTGACAATATGAATAAATATGTTTCTAAAGATAAAATGTTAATATTTATACTGTTTTGGTATTTTCTATAATTAAACAAAGAAAAAATTTAACATACCTTAAGACAATTTATTTTCTTACAAAATAATCTTAATACATGTTTGTATTTGTTTTTGCCAACGTTATTCAATAGCAGTTTTTTCCAGTTCATATAGATGGGATAAGGGGGAGCTTCAGAAGCAAAATTAAAGTGTAAATAATCAGGAATAGTGTCCAAAGCTTCCAATACTGCTGTGTGATTTGGAGGAACTTTAGCATCTCGTCAGTATCATCCACCACGTTCTCATCATTCACAAGTTTTAGTTAGATATAAATGAACAGTTCTTCACAAAAAATGTGAGTTTTGTGGGAGGGGGTGAAACATCACATGATAAATTTCTAAGAAAAATACTTGACGTCATAATATGCTGCACAATAAGTTGTTCAAGTACTTCCCTCACTAAACAGATCCCCTCCTTTTATGTACTCATAATGTCCTTCTGACTGCAAGTAAGTGATCGCGGTCTCTTTCATCTTTCGTATTCCAGGTGTCTTCTTTTTCTAGAAAACAGCATGGGAGAAAAACCAACCTCTGGACAAGAGGAATGGTCATTTTCTAAAAGATCAATGGGCTTTCATTGTTGTTGGTGTAACAGATAAGACACCCTATTCAAAATTTTAGAAAGAATGTCTTTAAAGAAACAGCAAAAATGAAAAGGTCAAGGGGGAAGCAAATTCAATAGGATCTAACAACATATATTTCTTTTTATCTGTAACAAGGATTACTCATTTTCTTCATTTTTAATTTAAAAAAAAAAATTTTAAAAAGAAAAAGTATTTAAAGGATTAAAGAATTAAAATGCTAGCCTAAAATTTCGGCGCATAATTGAAAAATTTATTTTTAGAGCGACGCATAAACGAAGGACGTTTATCATAATTTTCCTATGTAATGTACTGGGACCTATAAAAATCGTCGTATAAATGAAAAAGGCGCATAAAAGAGGTGGTGCATAAGTGAGAGATCACTGTAGTTCCATCAAAAAGTTCACCACGAAGGCTAAAATCTCCCAATACTTGATTCAGAAGTTCCCTTGTGTTCTGAATTGGGTTTGGGTTCTGGAATGGTCAGGATTAGCCTTATATAAACCAGCGCTGTCTACGCTTATTTTGAAAATGGCACAAAACTTCAAAATGGATAAAATCCACAGCACTCATAAAAGGCATTTATGGCCCAATTTTTTGAAATTTAAAAACTTACTCCAAGAATTTGCAAAAATTGAGAATAATGCAGTGATTTTGATAATTTTCATCTAGGAGAGAAAATGTTGCAAACTTGGCGGTTTTTAAAAAATATTAATTTAAGTTATTTGTCTGTTCTAAAGCCCAGATAATTCTTCACGGCAAGATTATATAGATAGTTTAAAATCATAGCATTGCTTCAAGTATAAGGCACTTAAACTATGTCTTTTTTTTCCCTTGGCGACTGAGCTTTGAAAATAAGCGTTAACAAAAACGCAATAATAACGTTAGATATTCCTTGATTCTTAAAATGAATTTGAAAGATAAAGTAGCATAGTTTTTCATCTACTGTGTCATATGGTTAACTACGTTGTAACAATTATCCCATGGACATTTAAGGCGTCACGTGAATAAAACATGAATAAGGGTGCATTAATGGACGCACCATATTATCGGCTCACCATATTATCGGTTCTATGAATTAGAATCCTCCTCAGTGTCTAAAACACAAGTGTAATAATTTCAAAGAAACCTTAATAAAAGATTTAGCAACACGTTTTCCTCCTAATTTTAACACAAAATAATTTTTCAATTTTTAATAATTTGATGTTTTTTAGAGCTAAAGAAGCTTATTTAATTTAATAAAACCTACAGAAAAAAATTCCAAAATGCGTCAATGTAATATTCCTAAAATTGTGTTTCTTTTTTCAATTTAAAAATTGTTTTACATACATATTAATATAGGGATGCTCGTATATTACTACATTTGTAGTAAAAAAAAATAGAAGTAAATTTTAGAATTAATCAAAATTCTCAAATGCTTATAAATGAATTGCATACCCCGAATAGATTTTTATTTTATGCTACTTCCCATCTTGCAAATATAAACGTTTCTTTAAAAAATAAAAATCTTTAATGATTGTGTGTGAGAAATTATGAATAGTAATTACGATTGTTCAATTCGTTACTACAATTACTCTGGCAAATATCAAATTCAAAGTGTCTTTTGAAAGCGAAAGTAGAATAATTTATTATCTTTCTTTTCCGCATTTATCAGTTTATTTTTTAGTTAACTCATCACATCTGCTTCCTCGCGTGCTTTCTGATAACAGCTTCGTATAAACAAAGTATTTCACAGTCCTTACATTAGATTAATTGAGTAAAACCTGTGACAAGCATCGACGCAGATATCTTAAAAGCTTAATAATGAGAAATATATAAACAAAGTGCTTTTTTATTATTATTTTTGTGTTATCATTATACTCTCAACCTGTTTAAGTCATATTATTTCATAAAAAGCTATTAATTCTTTTTGTATGCATCAAATTACTAAATATATTTATTAATTATGATAAATATTTATTTTATCAGTAGTTCAGAATATATTCAATTTTTCATGTTTCACAAACTTACTTTTAAATGATTAGTGTAACAACGACTTAGTATAGTTATGGATAAACATAAAATGCGAATGGCTAGGAAGTTAGTTTATTATTAATTTAAATGTCCATTGATTAATTTTAGGGTCCTTTGAAGTTATTTAAACTTTGTATTGCTCTGGAAATACACAAATTGAAATATATGCGTAGTTCGGTTAAATCATGTTTCGACTTTTTAATGATTTTTTCTATTTGTGATGTATAAATACAATTTTTCAATCTATGTAATAAATCTTATGTAAAATAGTAAATAATTTATTTTCTTTTAAACGTCTTCTCTTCGTCATTCATGTTGTTGTTTCTAATGACACTTGGACAAGTCAAGCTTCCCAGTTATTGGTCCTTTGCGAATTAATAGTCAGGAATTATTTGATAAGACAGTACTGCAAGGGTGAAAGTACGTTTTAGCTCAGAACCTCCCGGATAGATGGCAGCACCACTCAATCGTGAGGCCATCTCATAGATCAGAAGAGGAAGGAAATTTTTGTCAGAATTCAATACCCGTGGCGTGGAAGTACTGCTCATCAATTGACCACAGGACTTTTGATTTCCCAGATTTTACGAGCACGTGTATCGTATGTACTCGGTGGGGTTCATCGGAGCCTAGGATCGAAATACTCCGATTCTTTTTTTTTATGCAATTATTGTTTTGAGCGAAAGACATAAACCTCGTTAAAAATGCTGATTATACATTGTCTAAATCAGAGAAAAAATAAGAAATATTACTAATAAAAAAGCTTGTATAAATTTTCTGTATTCTGCACATTGTCCTTAAAAGAAATTTAACAAACAAACATGGTTATTTCCATTAATAGCTCTCACACCTATGATGACTTTAAAAATATTACAAATGTAAGCTTGTTGAAAATGGAAGCAATTCGATACAGTTCTCCTAAATTATAAAAATGTTTATGTTTCGATATTCGTCGTTAAACGTGGGTGTTTCAATTTCTTTGCCAGCTGTACTACGACAATTTAAAGGGAAACCCATATTTTTTTCCAAGTTCTCGGCAGGAAAATTAGTTCTTTAAAAATAATTGAAAAAAAGTGTCATTCATTCCTAGCATCGCGTTCTCTAATGATAGCAATGTCATCCTTCGAAAAGTGTTGATCGTCTGCCAAAACAACAATTCCAGGACGATAAATTCTCAGACACCGACAGTTATCTGTGGCATGCTTCCAAATCGGACATGGAGTATCAT